ATTATTAAAAAATACAATTAATATATTTTTAAAACATAAATTAAACAAATTCATATTCTTTAACAGTTTCATGTAATTAATTTTTTAATTAATATTTCCAGACAGAACGAGAAAGAAAGCGGTATAGAAGAAATCGCTTGGAAATTATATTGTTAGTCATCTTTTTATAGGTTTTTTTTTCTCATATTAAGCAGGTATTTATAGTATTTTTTATTATTAATTTATATAAAAATAATAGAATTAAATTTTATTTTTAATAATAATGTCACTCAAAATAATTCAATTAAATTGTTAATAAAGTTAAATTTTAAGTTTTTTATTTTTTCTGTAAATTAATAATAAAAATATGTAATGAATACATTTTAAGATGTAAGTTAAAAAATTCTATAAAAGTTTTATAAAACAAAAACTACTTATTAGCCCTATTAATATTGAGTAAATGTCATGTTTAAAAAAAAATTGAGTAAATATCATATTTAATTGAATTGAGCAAACCCTTTCAAAAATTTATTTCATTGAGTGAAAAAAAAAAGAAAAAGAAAAAGGAAAAAAGAAGCCTTTGAAAAGTTGATTATGAATGACATTGTGGCTCTCCCAAGACCACATTAAGTATCCATTTAGGAGACCTGAAGATTGTTTTACTCAGGATCAAGAAGCTCCTTTAACAGATGCAAGATTCAAATTTCAGAACATATGTGCTTCAAACAAGCACACAGCTGCAGAAGCCTTCGAATGACATTGGCAGACTATCACCAGCTACAGAACTGCAAGAGCCTCACCATGATCTTTAAGCTTCAATCTATCTAATTGCAATGAGAGCTGTGCAACCGCTTGTGCTACAAACTCCACTACTTCTTCATCACTTCTCTCAAGGCCAGGACTGATCTGGATGATCCACATACAGTTGTAACCAATTTTCTGATACTCCAATTGTAACCCGAGTCTTCTCTACTTCCATGTACGCTTTCCATTCAAGTCCTCAATCACAACAGATTCAGCAAAATCAAATTTATCATTATTTAGAAAACATCTTGACATCAATTAGCACAGGACATAGGCATGTGTGAGTATATCTACGAGTTTCATACCCAAAAATACATTAAACATGCCGATTAAATATGCAACATTCATGCAAGTCAAATCATATTCCTCATTTTTCCTTCTTATTTTCTACTAATAAACAGCACATAAGTTACCATATCAAAAGGACAGCCTAAGTTTAGCTTTCTTTTACATTAACCATGCATATAATCATCTCTAGGCAAACATGTAACAATGCCTATTCATCTTTTGTATAACACAGTAATAAAATAAATATGGAGTTTGAGAAGCAGGTGATTTTACTCTCCCTGGCGGTTTGTAGAAGTATTTTTTTAACAATGTGGCTAACTCCCATATATCATCTTGCTCGTTCTTCTGCTGCAGTGACTTCTCAGTCTATTTTGTTTCCTCTAATGACATGACTTATTCAGTATGTATTTACCAATCTTATGCTATCGTGTTTTATCACATTTAATCTGAATTTTTCACCTTTTTCCTCTCTTTTTGTTTTTCAAAGTAACAGGAAAATACATATCAGGCGTATTTCCCTCAAATAGCATCTTACCCCAAAACTTATGAGGCATTTAACCTCAATTTGACAACAACAATTCCCAAAACTTATTGAGGCATTTAACCTCAGTTTGACCACATACTAAGCATCCAAGTTTTCTGCAGTAGCTTCTTACAGTATGGAAGAGAAAGTTAAAACAC